GTTTTGTTTGTCTTACTTCCCCCCCCCCCCCCCGAATCTGCTTTGTTGTCAAGAAAAGCTTATGGTAAATCCTTGCTCAGTTGGTCTTCTCTCTGCAGATGAAAGAGACAGAGAAGTTGGGAGGGCTCGCTGTCATATGCGTAGTCTAGATGCCCTGTTTTAACGACTGGCAGGTTTCTGTAGGGTATCCTGTTGCTACCATGTACCGGAATGGGTTGCTAAGGTGGACTTCGCTTATGTGTTTAAAATATTATTTATTTTTTTTACCTATGTGTAGAACTTATTTTGGAATTTGTTCTTATTGCTACAACCTTTTAATCTTTTAAATTTTAACCAAAGAAAACTTTTTTTCCCCTCTGAAATGCAGGAGAAAGTTTGTACAAGTAATTCAATATGCAGGTCCTGTAAAGTTGCACGCTTATTGGAAACAGCCTGTATTTTTATAGGAGTTATGAGTTTGGAAATGCATGTGCAGATTTCACTGTTAAAATTTCTGTTCTTCCAGGAACCAAAGCAAAGATGAAGCTACTTTTTAGAATAGTTGATGTTGAAAGTCAGATTAATATTTTTCTTTCAGGTAGAATTCCAGACAATTTTATTTTTCGGTTAGAAAACTTCTTCTCACTCCTAATGTGAGCCTTACAGGAAAAGCCAAACAGCAAAGCCATATGACTTCATAAATACCCTTCCTCTTGCAGGAGAGAAGGATTACATTTCATAGCAGATATCCCAGAACAAGTATTTGCCACGTTTTGAGTTAGTACTTGCCAGATCTTTATTGCCTTAATTATATTTCATTACATTATTTGGTGGAATGGGCAAATGCAACTTATGATCAATAAAAGTGGCTTATTAAGGTGAATAGCTATTAATTTAACAGTAAATAAGCCTCAAAACCAAGCTTGCCTGTTTGAACAGTACTTAATTTCTAGTGCTGCTGTGGGAAGTGAGTTTGGGTTCCCAAAGAAGTATTTTCAAATAAGTTATTCCTGATACTGTGGGAACATTTACTTGTTGGTTGTAGGTTTTGGTGTTTTGTTTGTTTATTTGTTTAAATGCAGCAAAAACCTTATTTGGGTAACTGTAATAAACAGATGCACCATTCAAGAGAAACAGCAGCAAATTTTTGAGCTTTAACAGAGACACAAATACTTCATTCGCCCCTTTTCTTAGTTGGGCATTTACGTGGGTGCATATTTCCAGCCATTGTATCCCATATTTGTTAAGGGTGAGGCTATAAACCCTGTAACCCATCAATAAGCCACTTAAAAGCCCTGGTCACTTTAGAAAAATATTTCTGGCATCAGCCTATTTTCCTCTCGCTGGCATTGTGTCTGAAACCGAATTGGCCATGACGAGAGTGAGGAAGATCTGGAGCTCTGTGCTGTGCGCTCCAGCGAATGGTGTGACTTTGGATATTTGCCCTCTCTGCCCACAGGCTTTGGATTTTTTAATTTTTTTTTTTTTTTTTTTTTTAGCCTCTCTTCCCCCAGGCTTTTGATTTTTTTATTTTTTTTTTTTTTTTTTTTTTAGCATGATCTACAAAACTGCTGAGGTTACAAAATCAAGAACTAAAATTAGGCAGGGCCACAACATAGGTTGATACGTGCGTTAGGATACCTTCTTATTGTCACGCATCCCTTTAACCCTTGCTTTTTTAGTGTGTGGGAC